TTAGAGATAAATGAAAACACAGACACAACATATCGGAATCTATGGGACACATTGAAAGCAGTTCTAAGAGGAAAATTCATTGCTTGGAGTTCATTCCTTAAAAAAAGAAAAAAACAACAAATAAATGATCTCATACTTCATCTCAAAATCCTTGAAAAAGAAGAGCAAAACAACAGCAAAAGAAGTAGAAGGCAAGAAATAATTAAAATCAGAGCTGAAATTAATGAAATCGAAACAAAAGAAACAATTGAAAAAATTGACAAAACTGAAAGTTGGTTCTTTGAAAAATAAACAAAATCGACAGACTCTTAGTGATGCTAGCGAAGAGAAGAAGAGAGAGAACTCAAATTACTAGCATACGGGATGAAAAAGGCAATATCACAACAGACACTTCAGAAATACAGAAGATAATCAAAAACTATTTTGAATCCTTATACTCCAATAAATTAGAAGATAGTGAAGGCATAGATAAATTTCTTAAGTCATATGATCTGCCCAGATTGAGTCAGGAGGATATAGACAACCTAAACAGACCAATATCAATTGAGGAAATAGAAGAAACCATAAAAAGACTACCAACTAAGAAAAGCCCAGGACCGGATGGGTATACAGCAGAATTTTACAAAACCTTTAAAGAAGAACTAATACCAATACTTTTCAAGCTACTTCAGGAAATAGAAAAAGAGGGAGAACTTCCAAATTCATTCTATGAGGCCAACATCACCCTGATACCTAAACCAGACAAAGACACTTCAAAGAAAGAAAACTACAGACCAATATCTCTAATGAACCTAGATGCAAAAATCCTCAATAAAATTCTGGCGAATCGGATACAAAAACATATCAAAAAAATTGTGCACCATGATCAAGTAGGATTCATCCCTGGGATGCAAGGCTGGTTCAATATATGGAAATCAATAAATGTTATTCACCACATCAATAGACTTAAAAATAAGAACCATATGATCATCTCGATAGATGCAGAAAAAGCATTCGACAAAGTACAGCATCCCTTTATGTTCAAAACTCGAGAAAAACTAGGGATAACAGGAACATACCTCAATATTGTAAAAGCAATCTATGCTAAGCCTCAGGCTAGCATCATTCTGAATGGAGAAAAACTGAAGGCATTCCCTCTAAAATCTAGAACAAGACAGGGATGCCCTCTCTCTCCACTTCTCTTCAACATAGTTCTCGAAACACTGGCCAGAGCAATTAGACAGACGAAAGAAATTAAAGGCATAAAAATAGGAAAAGAAGAAATTAAATTATCACTATTTGCAGATGATATGATTCTATACCTAGCAGACCCAAAAGGCTCTACAAAGAAACTATTAGAGCTAATAAATGAATTCAGCAAAGTGGCAGGATATAAAATCAACACGCATAAATCAAAGGCATTCCTGTATATCAGCGACAAATCCTCTGAAATGGAAATGAGGACAACCACTCCATTCACAATATCTTCAAAAAAAAAAAAAATACTTGGGAATCAACCTAACAAAAGAGGTAAAAGACTTATACAATGAAAACTACAGAACCCTAAAGAGAGAAATAGAAGAAGATCTTAGAAGATGGAAAAATATACCCTGTTCATGGATAGGCAGAACTAACATCATCAAAATGGCGATATTACCAAAAGTTCTCTATAGGTTTAATGCAATGCCAATCAAAATCCCAACGGCATTTCTTGTCGAAATAGAGAAAGCAATCATGAAATTCATATGGAAAAATAAAAGACCCAGAATAGCAAAAACAATGCTAAGCAGGAAGTGTGAATCAGGCGGTATAGCGATACCAGACTTCAAACTATATTACAGAGCAATAGTAACAAAAACAGCATGGTACTGGTACCAAAACAGGCGGGTGGACCAATGGTACAGAATAGAGGACACAGAAACCAATCCACAAAACTACAACTACCTTATATTTGATAAAGGGGCTAAAAGCATGCAATGGAGGAAGGATAGCATCTTCAACAAATGGTGCTGGGAAAACTGCAAATCCATATGCAACAAAATGAAACTGAATCCCTTTCTCTCGCCATGCACAAAAGTTAATTCAAAATGGATCAAGGAGCTTGATATCAAAGTAGAGACTCTGCATCTGATAGAAGAAAAAGTTGGCTACGATCTACATACTGTGTGGTCTGGCTCCAAATTCCTCAATAGGACACCCATAGCACAAATTTAATAACTAGAATCAACAAATGGGACTTACTCAAACTAAAAAGTTTTTTCTCAGCAAAAGAAACAATAAGAGAGGTAAATAGGGAGCCTACACCCTGGGAACAAATCTTTACTCCTCACACTTCGGATAGAGCCCTAATATCCAGAGTATACAAAGAACTCAAAAAATTAGACAATAAGAGAACAAACAACCCAATCAACAAATGGGCCAAGGACCTGAACAGACACTTCTCAGAGGAGGACATACAGTCAATCAACAAGTACATGAAAAAATGCTCACCATCTCTAGCTGTCAGAGAAATGCAAATCAAAACCACCCTAAGATACCATCTCACTCCAGTAAGATTGGCAGCCATTATGAAGTCAAACAACAACAAGTGCTGGCGAGGATGTGGGGAAAAGGGTACACTTGTACATTGCTGGTGGGACTGCAGATTGGTGCAGCCAATTTGGAAAGCAGTATGGAGATTTCTTGGAAAGCTGGGAATGGAGCCACCATTTGACCCAGCTATTCCCCTTCTTGGTCTATTCCCTAAAGACCTAAAAAGAGCATGCTACAGGGACACTGCTACATCGATGTTCATAGCAGCACAGTTCACAATAGCAAGACTGTGGAACCAACCTAGATGCCCTTCAATAGACGAATGGATAAAAAAAATGTGGCATTTATACACAATGGAGTATTACTCTGCATTAAAAAATGACAAAATCATAGAATTTACAGGGAAATGGATGGCATTAGAGCAGATTATGCTAAGTGAAGCTAGCCAATCCCTAAAAAACAAATGCCAAATGTCTTCTTTGATATAAGGAGAGTAACTAAGATCAGAGTAGGGACGAAGAGCAGGAGAAGAAGGTTAACATTTAACAGGGATGAGAGGTGGGAGGGAAAGGGAGAGAGAAGGGAAATTGCATGGAAATGGAAGGAGACCCTCAGGGTTATACAGTGGAGGGGGTAGAGAGAGAGGAGGGGAGGGGAGGGGAGGGGAGAGGTGGGGAGGGGGGAGGGTGGAGGATGGGAAAGGCAGCGGAGCACAAGAGACACTAGTATGGCAATATGTAAATCAATGGATGTGTAACTGATGTGATTCTGCAATCTGTGTATGGGGTGAAGGTGGGAGTTCATAACCCACTTGAATCAAAGTGTGGAATATGATATGTCAAGAAATTTGTAATGTTTTGAACAACCAACAATAAAAAATTAGAAAAAAAAGAAGGAATAGCGTTTGGCTGGTGAACTTGGGGCACCTGTGAACATGGAAAGGCGGGACACCAAGAGCCCTTGCTGTGAAGCCACATTCCCCTGAGGGACAAAGGAATGCATTCATCTTCTCCATATACTTTTGTTTTCTTAGAGCTATTTGTAGGCTGATATTTCAAAGTTGTAAAATGTTAGTCACTTTATTTTAAGCTCTTCCTACTTACAAACCTCAGTGTATATATCTGAAGGAGTTAGTGTATGAGTTTAGAGAGTGGGAAGGATGATGGGGATTTGTAAGGTTTTGTATGACTAAAAATATGCACACATATGCCCTGGTTTTGACTTTTCAATGAAAACCCTATAGGGCTCTGCACCAGACATTCGTTCATTAAAAAGAAAGAAAGAAAGAAAGAAAAGTTAATTAAAGAAGTTGCAGAGAAGAGTGGCTGCTTTAAACCCAGCTATGTGGATCTAATCTGAATTATGAACTTTATGTGTCCAGGGTTTTGTCATTGAAGGTGAACATTCAGAAACTTGCTGGATGGTAATTTCTTTGGATCCCAAAACATACTGTCCCATTAGTTAAAACTTATAACCTAGGATTCATTTCATCGTGTACTCAAGTTGCTAGAGACCTGCATGATTTTATAGAGACTGAGTATGAAATTAGAATTGCCCTGCCTCTAGGACCATAAATAAATAAACCTGTAGCGTGTTTGACTAAGGCTTAGATAATTTAATAGATTTGGCAACACTTTTGAAAATAATTTTCTCTTAAGGGGAAGATAATGCCATCCATAATGTTTGTAGAACTTGCATCCATGGGAATCTTGATGCCATTTTTAAAAGACAATGGAGATTCTTCTTTTGTTTTACTATAGCCACACATACACACCCACACACAGAAAAACAACAAAGAAAGAAAAAAAGGAAGGAAGGAAGGAAGAAAAAAGGAGAAAAACAAGAAACTAGTGAACTTTTAAGTGAATAATTTGCTAAAGAAGAACTTTTTTTCTATATATACCTGTTATAGTCATAAGATAATTTTTTTCATGTCCTCAAGCTTTGGATTATTCATGGGCATTTTTTAAGTATTCCAATACATGACTGAACAGAGATTAGAAATACTACATTTTCTAGTAAAATGCCTACTTTGTTTTGGTACTGAAGTTGCAATGTTATCTGTAAAATATGGGTAATAATTCTGAATTCTAGCATTTTGCTTTCTTGTTATGTTATCATCTCAATTATCTTCTATTTGGAAGTGTGCTTACATAGTTGAGAAACACAAAACATTTGTATTTAGAAACAAAAGTAAAACATCCTTGTGTTATTTTATTAATCTGTAAATGATAGGAGAAGGGAAGAAAACATATTTGCATGGCAATAATCCTGAGAATGTATTTGTACCTTATATCTTTACTTTTAACCTTATATTTTAAGGGAAAAAAAAGATTTGAGAGATTCAATTGTGCAGTTGTGTACTGAAAAGAATCACTTATAAAAACTTCATTTGACTCTACAACTTTGTTTTCCCAGATTATTTTTAGCTTTCATTGTCTCTAATGTTGAATTTTCTAAACTAGAAATTATTTTTATTTTCTTAATAGACTGGAAGGAAAGAAAAAGGAGACCCTCTAAACATTGCAATTGACAAGATGACCAAGAAAACAAGAGATCTAAGGAGACAGGTAATGTTTTGTTTTCTGTTTTGAGAGCATGGTACTTAGTGGTTTTTAATAATGTTCTTTCTTAGGATTTTTTAGACCTTATTTTCAGTATGCTGTTCTTTATTTAACCTATATATACATAAAAAAAGCTTATGTTCAGGATGCTGTTCTTTATTTCACCTGAATATACATAGAAATATTCATTAGCAAGGTAGAAATTGCTGAGCAGAGAGATGGGCTACCTGCAAGGCTAATGATGTGAATCGCCCCTGAGGGGCAACCTCTCAATGCCCAGACATACTCTTCTCAGGTGGAGATTTGAATTCAGTGCCTTCTAAGTCTGCTTTTCAGTTTTCCAAATCCAGTCATGCTCAGGGCCTGTCTGGGATCTATGGTGGTTCTTACTTATTAAACTCCCCAGAGCATTAAATGATAAACTAGAAAGCTAATGGTTAATGAGAAATGCAACTCTTAATTTGATGGGCTAATTAAGGTCTATGACCCAGTGTATTCCGTTGGGTACATAAATCTAGAATGTTTGCTCGTCAGATGGTTGTTTGGGAAGCAGGGAACCAAAGCAAGGAGAGTTTGTTGTATGATTTCAGTGGCTAATGGCATCATTAGTCTGAAATGTCAATTTTTCTTGGTGGGAAAATTATCTTTGTTGGGAGCCCCTTTTTACCTTAAAATATTTTTTGGGGGGGTACCGGAGATTGGACTCAGGGGCACTCAATCACTGAGTCACATCTTCAGCCCTATTTTGTCTTTTATTAGAGACAGAGTCTCCCTGAGTTGCTTAGCACCTCGCCATTGCTGAGGCTGGCTTTGAACTCACGATCTTCCTTTCTCATCCTCCCGAGCCACTGGGATTACAGGCATGTAATCCTGTGCTGGCTTGGAAAGTATTATATGAATACTGGTAAATGTTGTTGAGAAACCCTGATTTTATAGGTTTCCATGATGAACTCCACTTTATTTGGCAGTGATCTTTCTCTAAAAGAAAGTACAACATGCATCAAGTTGTAATAAAATTACCTCTACTTGATTTCTGCTTGACAAGTATCCTATCTCCAATTGGTAGCTTTTGCATATGTCCATCTTGGTTCCTAAGTGTTGATGGAGTAAGTCAACTAGAACAAAAACACTGCCCAAGGCTGTACTTTCTGCAGCTTGAAAAACTGGATTTGCGCAGATACATCCGGCATTCTCTTCTGCAGCACATCAAGTGCAGGCAAAATAGACAAAATTAGAGAGGTGCTTAGACAAGAATGGCCGAGGAGCATCTTAGAAATGATTGAAAGGAAAGGAACATATCACTTCTGATTACTGCTTGTGAGCTCTGGGCTCTTTTCAGGATATTGCCTGAAGGTGTGGACACACCTGAGCTAATAATATCATCCAGAAGAGATCACAGTTAGTTTTGGACTATCAAGACTCTAGTTTGGCTACCCAGATAGAAAGCCCTTTGGGGGAAAGCACTTCCTTTTTATTTGACCTTGAAATAAGTTATAATAAAATATTGTTTCACTAATCAATAATAGGTCATTCCAAATGGCTAACTGGTCAGGTCTACTTCTCCTTGCCCTGTTTAGTCTATCTCTCCATATCCTGTCTAATATGAAATGAATGGGAAGTAGGAACAGAGAGAAAGTTAATGGAAAATATGAAATTAGGAATCTGGGCCCTAGGTTTTAGTCCTTGCTCTGTCACTAAATAGGCAGTGTGAGTGTGCATTTTCATCTCTTGATCTCCTTTTCTTCCTGGGTGTATAAAAACAAGGAACCACACATGATCTGTTAGCTATCTTTGAGCTAAGTAACATTGTATGAGTCCAAGGAAAATCCTAATTTATTGTCCTATGCCAGAGGTTCCAAGGCAGGTCAATCAGATTTTAAAAGTGATGGAAGACATCTCCAGGGTTGGCCTTTAGCCAGATTGCCAAAGAGGCCAGATACATGAACTGGGTCCTCCGCATCCTTAGTTTCTTTGTTTTATTAGGGATTAAGCTTTCACATCCAGGAGCCAGCACCCTTACCTCTCTCCTCTTATGAACCTACTGTAACAAGATTTTTTGTTTTGTCTTATTTTAAGGAAGAAGTGGGTCAAGTAATGTTTACTCTCATAATTCCCAGGAAAGTGTTGATTTTTTTCTTTACACAGGACAGTAGTGAAAACTGAAGGTGAAATTTATAGTGAACTTTCAAATGATTAGAATACAGACTCCTCAGAGAGCTTCCTTTAGGGTGTCAGTGGAAGGACTATGTCCTCCCCCAAAATTATTCCACCATTCCACCAATGTGATTCTTTTTTTTCTTACTCTCCCAAGGATACAGAGGCATCAGGATAATAGGAAAATTGTTTGGTAGTATTAAGATCCAATAGTTATGGCATAATTTCACTCCACATCCTTGGATTTGGTTCAAACACCTTTCTTTTCCCTAATCTGCCTTTCTAGGACTAAAATGGTCCCCATCTGTCATTTCCATCCCTACCCATATGTTGGGATATTTTTGTCTTTTTTCCTATCTCTTCTGTCTCTCCATGTACACCTGTAGTGGTACAAAAGCTATTCTGATCCAAATTGAAGCTACCTAGCATTTGTGCAGATGGAACATGCACAGACTAATTTGCGTGGCTCAGTTAGGCCATCAGCCTAGATTTGGGTAGCTAGTTAATTGGAGAGACAAGGTTTTCTCTGGGTATGCAACAGTGGCCCTGGATGCTAGTGGCTCCATGTGTGTTTCCCTACTGCTGAGATATTTCCTGTGCTTTCAATTACAGATAAATCCTCATGAGAGCAGATTCTAAAATGAGAACTCTCAAGATCTAGGTCCATACATACATATTCCTTTATATGTATTTAAAGAAATCAAATTTAATAGAGGAAAAAAGGTAAAAATCAAAGATCGTGCTTAAAAAAGATTTCTAGTGACTTTCATAATGTCCCACTCTCCTGTAATCTCCTGCCTCTTCCTCATATCCCTTGTTTTGGAAGTGCTCTTCAGGAGGGTGACCCTGGAACCTTGCAAACTTCCACTCACCACATTTAAAAGAAGTAGTCAATCATGAGCGTTATCTTTGACTTCCATAATGAAAGAAAGCTTAGTTAGACTTGTAGACACTTAAAAAACCAAGGGTTATTCAAAAAAGGATCAAAAAGGATCGCTGTTCAAGTGGAATTTTTCAAACAAGTTAAACACCTCACTGAGGCAGCACATCCCAAGGATGTCATAAATTGTGAAAAAGGTCACAGGAATGCAAGGGTATGATTTAAAACTAATTGGCGTGAATCCATCTTGCCAATGAAACCCATGACAATGGCCAGTGGTAGAGCAGAGTCCTCTCGGGAGTACTTTGTTTAGAATTAAAAATGGATTTATGGGAATAAAACTGCCAGCTTTAAGCATTATGTTCTAATTTTAGAGCTGTGGACACAGTAGGCTCCATGTCTGAGCTACTGTCACTGCTGTGATTCTGGATCCAAACCATTGCAAAAGCAAAAGCTTTTGGCTGACACCCTATCTAGAGGACCAGGGTCCTCCACGGTCCATCCGTCACTCAGAGAGGACCTAGCCAGTGTCTGCCAGCAGCACCTGCCTGCTCTCCTACATACCTCCCTTTCTTACTTCTTCCTGTACGTACAAGGAGGCTGATTTCTTCCTGTTAAAGTTTTGATCCTTTCCTTAGTCTTTTTTATCCCAAGTTGATAAGCAAATTAGGGCCCAAACCTTACTCTATGAGAAGCTAATAAATAATAACCATAACATCATGGTATTGCCAAACAGCCACTTCACTTCCAAAACCAATTCAGGGCCTAATTTCTATCCTTTCACCCTTATTAACCATGACAATGATTCCCACATTGAGATTCAGTGAGTGCCAACTCGACAAAAAGTTCTAAATTGCTATTACAATAAAAATATTTTCAACAACAAAAAATCATGAATAGAATTATTCATGATTTTTTTTACATTGAGATGAGTCCGTAGTAGAATGGTAATATAACAAAAGATTAAAAACCAAAAAGCAAAACATGTCACTTGGAGGTATATTTATCAAGACCCTGCCTCCAAGATGGTGGAATGATATGGACATCATTACCCTAGGTACATGTATGACTGCACATATGGTGTGACGCTATATCGTGTACAACCATAGGAATGTAAAGTGTGCTGCAGTTGTGTACAATGAATCAAAATACATTCTGCTGTCATATATACCTAATTAAAATAGATTAATAAAAAAAAACCCTGCCTCCAGAGAGGATGACTGAAAAATTTTCTAAGATTGATAAGAAATAACATTCAAAGAATTTCCTAGATGCCCCTTTCAGACCTAATTCCTTACATAAGTAAGAACTGTGGCTGAAGGTGGACCATCATTAGTGAAAGTTTTGAAAAATGCTCACAAAGTAAATTCTAAATTGTATCTGATATATGTCAACTCTTACAGTGTACCTAGACTGATTCTAACTTTTCTCTACATATTGACCACATTAAATCCTCATGCTAATTCTGTGAGATGGATAAGGTTGTCACCATGCCCATTTTACAGATGAGGATATATTAATGAACTAATGCATCCATGGATGCACACAGGGTGTTGATGTGCAGGTTTCAGCCCAGGCAGTCTGGCTGCTGGTTCTTTGCTCACAATCTTTACTCCATCCTGCCTCTCCATAGAACCAGCATATACAAGTGGTCACCTGTATACAGATCTACCCTGGTTGATGTGTGTGGGAGGGAAGATTCACATAACTACATAAAATTGATTTTGGGTTTCCAATAGTACCTCCATCACTCTAGAATTTGGGGTGACATGTATGCCCTACAGACAGGAAAAAAAATCTAGGGTGAATGTCAAAAATATGGTTCTTGTTTGATATTATCTCTTGGGTCTCCAGCTGTTTTGGTTCACTGGATCCTCTTTTGAAAAAGTCCTTATTGTGCTTAGGTATCCGGCTTCTCAATGTGCGAATTACAGACTTTCCAAAACATTTACAGAAAAAAAGAAACATTAAG